ATTGATTGAAGAGTTGTCTCAAAGAGAAGACAATACAAGACATGAAACACAAGACAAAGGATTGAATACTCGAGAAGTGATTGAATCAGACATTGAATCCAATGATGGCATCGATTGTGATATTAATGTGGAATCAGATAACGAGACAATTGACGGAACAGTTGATGAAAGTGTTGTCACAAATCAAACGCAAGACATGAGTATTACTGAAGAAACAAAAGCTGAAAGTGTTGTTGAAAATGAAAACACGAATGAAATACAAGTTTTTAATAATAATGAAGGGATTAATGGTTTAAATAGCAGTCAAACCGAAGAATTGTCTCAAAGACACGACAATTCAATTAATAAAACTCCAGACAAAGGGTTTTGTGTCGAAGAAAACACTGAATCAGACATCGAGTCAAATGATGGCATTGATTGTGACATTAATTGTGATTCAGATAACGAGACAATCGTTGGAAGTGTTGATCAAAATGAAGACATGAATGACAGACAAGACTTAAATAGAAATGAAGAGAAAAGTGAATCAAATTTAAATGAAAGAGGAATTCAATTAAACGTAAAATTCAAAAATAATTGTGAAACAAATAGTGAATCGATTGGAAGTAATGAAAGAGACAATAGTTCTGGAGATGAGGACATGGATTCACAACAGAATAATAATATATCGGAAATTAAGAAACAATTGTCAATTCGGAGATATTTCTGTCCACAAGAGAACTGTTTTCGACATTACTCTTGGAAGAAGGGTTTGAATTATCACCTGAAGAATGGCACTCATGAGTGTAGAGACAAGACATACATCTGTGGTATCAATGCATGTGTTTATAAGACTTCATCCAAACATGAGTTACAGAAACACATATCGAGTGAACACAAGTTTATTTCAGAAACTATCCGTCCGTTTGTCTGTAATTTCATCGGTTGTGATAATAAGTATAGCCATAAAACAGGTCTCATTAGACATAAACTGAAACATTCGGGTCAGACATACAGGTGTGATGTCGAGGAATGTGAGGCAATCTTTTACGCTAAAGAATACTCAAATCGTCACAAAAGAATAAAACACACGTCGAAGACATCACTGTCTGGAAGTGATTGTAATGAAAGCGAAACTCAAGTGAAGATCAAAAAAGATAATAATTGCGAAACAAATGCCAAAATAAAACTGAAATCAAATACAAGTGAAGCGAAAGACAGCGAAACAGAACAGTATAATAACGGGTCGAGTGATGAAGAGATGGACAGCAATTCAGACTCTGATTACACCCAAAGACAGACTAAACGCACAAAATATGATACGAAAACTGACGGCCAGTTTGTATGCGATATCAATGGATGTGGAAAGAGATATAAAAGAAAGGTTTATCTAAATGAACACAAACGCATACATTTGGGTCATAAATATCAATGCGATGTCGAGGAATGTGAAGCAATATTTGTATCAAAAAAGTACTTAAGGACTCACAAGAGAAATATACACACGAATACTGAGCGCCGGTTTGTTTGTGATTTCATTGGATGCGATAAAAAATATTATACTATACGTGACTTGAGTAGACATAAAGGCATACATTTGGGTCACACATATCAGTGCGAAGAGTGTGGAAAGTGTGTCCGAACCACGGAATCACTCATTAAACACAAACGCATACATTTAGGTGAGACCTACCGGTGCTCTGAAGTAGACTGTAGGGCAACGTTTACCACCGAAGTATACCTAAAAAAACACATTATTATACGTCACGGCTCTAAATACCGTTGCGATCATAAGGGATGTGATTATAAGACCGGATGTCTATCGTATCTAAAATCACATCAAATCAGTCATTCAAATGAACGCCAATTCAAGTGTTCAATCAATGGCTGCGATAAGACGTTTAAAACAGAAACGAGTTTTAATAAACATCAGTTGAGAACACATTCAGACTTCTTTGCAGACATACCATGGATTGAATGCTCGCATACGGGCTGTCAGTATAGGAGTAAAATCAAACCAGACATTACGGTACACATGAAAACTCATTCAAAGCCCTATCGATGCGATGAATGCGGAAAATCCTTCGGTTCGACCGATTGTCTTAAGCGTCATAAGAGAACTCACGACAAGTCGTCGCAAATCCCGTGCGAATGGCCTGAATGTGAGCGAAGATTCACTAATAATAATGTAATGAAAGCACATATGAATTCACACACGTGTGAGACCACATACCGGTGCCAATGGCCCGGTTGTGACAATACATATAACCACCGAAATGGCTTAGAAACCCACGTACGGAGAGTACACAATGGTTTGTTAGACCTCAAGTGTCATTGGCCTGAATGCGAGTACTCGACCACTAATCCCATTAGACTTCATAATCATATCGATAGACAACACAAGGGTCTGCAGGACTACCGGTGNGACTTCATAATCATATCGATAGACAACACAAGGGTCTGCAGGACTACCGGTGCTCTCATACGGGCTGTGATTATACGACCACTAAATGCGGACAATTTGACACACATATGCTTTCGCATAAGAAATGATCAAATTGTATCAAAAGTACCATAGTGCTGTTTACATGTAATACTATGTGAAATCCAGCAAAACTAAACTATGTATTTGAATTTAATAAATATTTATTAAAATTTGTTATTTTATTTATTTAAAGGGTAAAAAGCCGACTGAATGTAATAACTAATCTAATCAACAATTATTGTGTTGTTTTGCTTAAAATATTATAAAATATGTAGATATTTTAAATTGTGTACGTAATGTTGTGCTGTACTACACATTTTTCGCATTCTGTATATTTAAAATTAGCTTAAATTGAATACTTAAAATTATATGAATAAATAATTATGCTTATTTTAAACATATAAATTACTGCCATTAAATTTATTGACTATATTTTTATTATTAGCAATATAACTGTACAATTACATAATTTATAAATAAATTAAAGCGAACTTTAATATTTGTTATGTTTAATAGTCCTTGAAACTATATTATGTCTAAAGCAATACAATGTGTATAATATATAGAAATAATATATATAGAAATTTTTATAATAAAATTTTCTAAGTTTATTGAAATGACTTAATTTAAATATGCAAATTGCGCATGGAAAATTTTTACTACATAAATAATTATTGCGTGTGCGATTAAAATATTGATATTAAAAAATAAAGTTTTACATTATTTTAGGAGCTTTTTGTTTTATTAATAAAGTAACTTTCATATTTTTGTTGAGACAATGTTGTTAACAAAACAATATATCACAATAATCACAATTGTGAACATAAGTAATGCAGCATGTTCAAAAATGTGTGATTACATTAAGTTACCCGGAACCGACATCTATAATGGCGTTCAGATACGCTACCAAAGGAGCCTTCATGATTTTATGGAATCATACACTTACCCCTTCACATATCTAATGTTTTCAAATGATAAAATTACTAGATTTGAAATTAGATCAGCTAATAATAATAATAGCAGCAAGCCATACATGACCATGTACAGATATATTGAAACTGTTAAACCACGTAATAGAGCCGATTGGTATATTAACACATTCTCTGGAGAGATGTATCGGGGTAATGAACATAACGACGCTTACACATGTTTTGTTTACTTTATGGTAAATTAAATTTTGTCAATTAAATTTTTTATTTCAATAAATAAATATATTTTACGTATTGTTATTTAACAAGATTACAAAAAGTTAAAATAAATTTATTGTATGTAATCTTATCTACGTTAAAGAATAATATTGGCCTAATTTTATGCCTAATGTTAAGTAAATGACCACCTTATTTAGGCAAAAATTAGATTGGCTTGATAGTGACTCGGTATGTACCAAGTTACAGATTTAACTTAGCTTTACATAGTTAAAAAGCCATTATTTAACATCAAATTCTAAATTCCTTATCAAATTTATAACAAATGTTTGAGTTTTTTAAGTTACAAACATTATTTAAAAATTACCAAATAATAATAAAAACTCTCTTATTTTTAATTATACCTGTAAATTATATGCCAGGACGAAAATTCTAACGTAATTTACACTGAATGTCAAATGGACCATCGTAACCAAAGATTTGTAAACACCCGGGTTCAGTATAACCCGTATGCTATTATATTCAACGCAGTATTATATAAATCAACCGATTTATAAACCATTGAATACAACACCGATTATCAGATAATATTTGATACAAACGAACGATCGGTACGTGTGTTGAAGGTATGGTTCACTGAAAATAGCGGTGATTTACAGCTCATAACCCAAAAGCAATGTAACCGTCGCTACGAATGCCAAATACCGGCATTTCTCGGTTATATACCCGACCATTTGGTAAACCAATTAGAGGGTATCGTTGCCTACACTCTGTACCCAATGTATTGGAACATGAATCCATATCCTACTATTATATACAATGTTAGCCTATTTCCTAAGGGACATATGCTATGGTTTAATATCGATGGTCAGCCCCGCTATTGCTTTACACCATTTTATGGCATACTTTCTCAGCAAGTAAGTTTTTCAATATCTTAAGTTAAGATTCTTAATCATGGTAATTTATGCTTAATTTCAATATAATCATTTATATATTTATAGTGTTCATCAAGCACAAATATGATACCATTCTGTAACGGCACTAAATTTATCAACAATTCTATTGCTACTACTTTACCAACAATTACTGATTCAATAATTTTGTTAAATTATACCAAAACTTCACCAAAAGGAGAACAATTCAAACTTGAATTTAAATTTGTTTACATAATTATATTGTGTTTATTATGTGGTGTAATAATTCATGTATCAATCATAATAAGTTATTATTGCACAGAATTTTACAATAATAATAATTAGTAAAGTAGTAGTTTTAATACTATGAATAAATAATGATATTTATTTTAAACATATAAATTATTACCATTAAATTTATTGAGTATATTTTTATTAGCAATATAACTGTACAATTACATAATTTACAAATAAATTAAAGCAAACTTTAATATTTGTTATGTTTATTAGTCCTTGAAATTATATTATGTCTAAAGAAATACAATGTATAATATTTAGAAATTTTGATAATGAAATATTCTAAATTTATCTAAATGATTCAATTTAACTATGCAAATTGCGCATGATAAATTTTATAACGTATATAATTATTATACGTATGATAATTTATCATTGATAAATATTGAATAAAGTCACAAATAAAATTATACTACACTAAATCTATTTTATTTAAAAAAACGTTACTTTCGTAGTTTTGTTAAGACAATGTTTTCTACAAAACAATATGCTATAATAATTGTGTGCATTATGTGCATAAGTAATGCAGCATGTTCAGAAATGTGTGATTACATTAAGTTACCCGGAACCGATATCTATAATGGCGTTCAAATACGCTACCAAAGGAGCAACCATGATTTTATGATGTCATACTCTTATCCATACGAATATTTAATGTTCTCAAATGATAAATTAACTAGATTTCAAATTAGACCCCCTAATAATGATAATAATAGCAGCAAGCCATACATGACCATGTACAAATATATTAAAAATGTTGAACCTCGCAACCGAACCGATTGGTATATTAACACATTCTCTGGAGAATTATATCTCAACAATACACTCAACGGCGCCTATACTTGCTTTGTGTACTCTATGGTAAATTGTATTATTCTATTATACTATTAGTTATAAAATAATGTAATTAATAATTACTAATTATTTAGTTTTAAATTTAATTGTCAAATAAATGTTTCTAACAATGCAAACTATTAGATTTATAATTGAGTTTAATTAATACTGTCAAGGTTTATTTTGAACAGGATGAAAATTCTAACGAAATTTACACTATATGTCAAGTGGATTATGATTTCAAAATATTTGTAAACACACGGATTCAGTATAACCCGTATGCTATTATATTTAACGTAGTATTATATAAATCAACCGATTTATACACCATTGAAGACAACACCGATTATCAGATAATATTTGATACAAACGAC